GAGCGTAAAAATCAAGAACCTCCACCTTGACCCGGAGGCTGATAAAAACATCTACTAGCTTCAGATTAATGGTTAGTCTCAACAGCACAACACTTCATTCTTATCAAAGTTATGTCACCATGTGGGATACGATGTACAAACATAATATACAGTATGGCGTTAATCGTTTCGACGTTTTCTACGCTAGGCTAAATATACTGTAGGTGCTGTCACAACAAGTTATATATATCTCCCTCTCCTTATTCTTGTGACCCCCCCCCCCTCTGGGTAACTATAGTAGTGATAAATCCCCAACCTCTTCCATGAGTGAGACTTGGTAGCAGACAATTTATTGTATTAACTAGCTACCTGGCACCAAGTTTTTGTCTTAATACTGTACTGATTTGCTTTGTAAAAAAAATGCACACACATACACACTGAACAATTTACTATATTTAAAAAGTGGTACATTAATCATGATACATATCGAAAAATGAGAAATTCTCATTTTTTAGCACATGAATGTTAAATGAATTGTGAGGCAGGTCAATACTTGTGGCATAAACAGTATACGTATAATCAAATAGGACTACCAGTAGTATAAAGGAATCAGTTGTGTTGGTAGTACCACACTGAGGGTTTGTGGTACAGTCAGGGAAAGGTGTCTCTATACCCATCCCGTGTTATCCAAGATGTGGCAGTGTCACAGTAGTAGAGATCAGTGGGGATTCGACTAACGCCTCATGGATCGCACTTCGAGTAAATTCGAGACACTTATGGACATTATAGAATAATATATGCGTCTATTGCTTCACGTTCGAGAGTCTGAATCTCTGGGTTCGTGGAGCAGCAGGACTTTTGTGGGCGACTGTACCTTGATTGGGGACATCACAGGGGATATAGAAACACCTTCCCCTGACTATACCACTTTAAATAGTACTGCTCTACAGTGTGACCATTGAACGGGGTTCCCAAAGGACTGATGGGACAAAGTGGATGCAGCATACTAAACGACTAAATGTTAAGCCTCTAGTACAGAAAGAGCCAGTGTGGCCGTCTCCACCTCGGAAACTGTAAAATTAAGTGTTTATTCACACCTGGAAGAAATGGGGGAACCCCGGCGCTGGACTGACGTACTGTATTCTTAAATTTTCGCGAAATTGCTCGAATAACTTAGGAAAGAACCAACATTCAGAAAAACGACTCGGCAGGAGCTAACAAATATAGTACATGCCGTATTTCTATCCGTACTAGTACAGTGTGGCCTGTTATGTCCTTACAAATAACAAGCACGCACGCCCGTTTGTATATACTGTTCGTCATCATTTAAATATATAATAATGTACAATACTGAATGAAAAGAAAGTTCGCCATCACAATTACATCATTAAGGTGGCTATCACGCAGCTGACCTAGCTTCACCGGGGGGTTGTCGAGTCACGACCAGCGCAGCACTACTACAAACAGTACCAGTTTGGCAGTAAGGTCGACGATACAGTGGTGCTTCGGGAGCTGGCTGACCATGTGCGTAGAGCAAGTGGCGGCACGATATTCTTGGCCCACCGCCGACCTAGACACAGGTGCGCCCCTCTGCCACCTGCTATTTTCACACTTGCGACCCTGATAGTACTGCCATCTTCTCAATAGTACAGGACTAACACGATCACCAAATTGTGGTTTAATTGTTTGAAAACGGAGAGTCACTATGCCGGGTACTTAAAGAGAAAATTTAACTTTTATGAGAAATCCACGTAGCAGACAAAACACATTTAAAATCCTCACACATCCCTTAAAAGAGTCCAGTTATTAAATTAGTAGACAAAATTTAAAGAACATACCATAAGCCTAACTCTCTTTAGAGACTACCTGGTACACCTGTGGGCGGTTAAGTGCTGTTAAAAATATTATATACCGGGGTAAGCCTAAGAGCTACACATCCCATCTGTATACGTTCACAGTATTTTAAACGAAAAGGTTAACGGTACTAATCACTCGCTCACTAAGGGGACGCCACTTTAATATTTTATTTGCCTATTTAGCATAGAGGGGACCCCGTACACAAGTAAACTACAGCGTAGTGCTGAACACAGAACAACTGTATTAATGTTGTACTTGGTTAGAACTACTGTAGCTTAAAAGTAAAACTAAATAATTTCTTGAATCAATTATAGCAGATAGCATCCGATCGCATCTAGAGAAAAGCAAATTAATCTACGACTCTCAACATGGGTTTACAAAGGGAAAATCTTGTCTAACAAATCTGCTGACGTTTTTTAGGAAAGTCTTCGAGGTAGTAGATAATGACGAAAATTACGATGTTATTTACTTAGACTTTAGCAAAGCATTTGACAGAGTACCGCATCAGAGGCTTCTGAGAAAAATGAAGGTTCATGGTATCGAGGGAAAAGTTTTAAATTGGATAAAATCATGGCTCACCGATAGAACGCAGAGGGTCAGCGTAGATGGTGTTAAATCTGAGTGGGGCTGTGTAACCAGTGGGGTTCCCCAGGGGTCAGTCCTAGGCCCACTCTTGTTCATAATCTACATAAACGATCTAGATACTGGGATCAGCAGTGACATAAGCAAGTTTGCGGATGACACCAAAATAGGGCGGCAGATTAATTCAGGGCAGGATGCAAATGCATTACAGGAGGATCTAAATAAACTGCAGGGGTGGTCTGAAAAATGACAAATGAAATTCAACACCAGCAAGTGCAGCGTACTTAATATTGGAAGAACAAATACTGATAATGTATACAGCCTTAACAACATCAACCTAGAGAAGTCGACTTGTGAAAGAGACCTAGGGGTACTTGTAAGCCCGGATCTACGGCCTAGAAAACAGCGCGTTAATGTTCGAAATAAGGCAAACAGAGTATTGGGTTTTATATCTAGAAGTGTAAGTAACAAGAGTGCAGAGGTCTTATTGCAACTTTATCTTGCGCTAGTCAGGCCGCACCTCGATTATGCGGTTCAGTTCTGGTGCCCTTATTATAGAATGGATATCAATTCACTAGAGTCGGTGCAGCGAAGAATGACAAAAATGATTCTGGGACTTCGAAACCTTCCATATCAGGATAGGTTAAAGAAACTTAACTTGCATTCCCTAGAAAGACGAAGAGTGCGGGGAGATATGATAGAAGTATTTAAGTGGGTAAAAGGAATCAATAAAGGGGATATAGATAAAGTTCTTATAATATCCGAGCAGGATAGGACTCGGAGCAACGGATTTAAGTTGGATAAGTTTAGGTTTAGGAGGGAGATAGGAAGAAACTGGTTCACAAATAGGGTGGTGGACGAGTGGAACAAGCTTAGCAACTTTGTAGTAAGTGCTGGAACTCTGGAAAGTTTCAAAAGGAGGCTAGATAGAGTCATGGATGATAGAGAGTGGTAGTAACTCTCGACAGGAGCTGCCATGCACAGGTCAACCGGCCTATTGCAGACTCATTTTTTTATGTTCTTATGTAATGTACCGGTACACAAGCACCTTTGGGGAGGACCATCCGTTGCATCGTAAGTAACGTTAGTGTAACCCCTCTACAGCAGCCTTGATGCAATAAAACCATGTTACAAATGGAAAAACAAATGCCCTTGCAATAAAAACTTCCAGTGATATCAGCGACACACGCAACCACTGGGGAATGTAGTGTAAACAAAACACATTCTTCAACACATTTATCATCGTACATTCATATTACATACGGATCGAAATACAAAGGTGATGAAAATGATGAAGACTTCAAGGAATTAAGTTATTCTAATTCGTCAGTCCTAGGTTGGCTTCTCTTCTACTCGCCAACAATGGGTGTGAGGTGGTAGCAATTTCGCTACCATGACCTAGCATCTCCACACTTTCTATTCGAGATTTCTTCAACGGAACAGACAACCACTAGTTCAGTCCATTCTTGCTGCTCTTGTTGTCATGCAGAAACTATTCTCGTGTTCACTATAAACACCAAATACTTGCAAAGATCTGAACTCGTAGCTCCCAATCTTTACCTTTGATCATGTGACTGTTGTATGGTACCTGAATTTCGCCCGAATTTTACTTTATCTGATCTTGTGACTGTCGTATGGTATCTCTCTTAGTTTAGCTCACAATTTATCTACGAACTCTCAAGACCTAACCATTATCTCCCCTAGACCTATCTGGTCGACCACACTCCCATAACCTAACTTATCAAACACCAACACTGCCGTGATTTGAATAATGTTATACAACCTATTTACTATAAATATATGTTAGACGGGATTTGGACTCTGTCGAGTGTAATAAAAAACGTTTTATCAAATGGAGATGTGATTCACTATGGTACAACAATGCCTGGAAAGGGGAGTTTCCGATCAGTATAAACATTCATAGTACTGCCCCCACTTTGTCATTCATGATGGAGACGAAAATTTACTCGGCACTTGCCGAGGATCAGCTTCCTAACTCCATTATTACGGAGACGCCACTTTTACTATTTTATTTGGCTAACGACAGACGACTTTATCCAGCGAGAGGGGACCCCGTACACAAATAAAGGGCAAGTTTCATTAATAATTAATTCTACATGTGTTCCACTGAAAGGCAAAGATGTCGAAGGACCTGAACAATACTCACGTGATAAAAATGACTGCAGCGAAGCCTATAGTATCGAGAAAACCTTTTCAAATATTGAAAGCCAACATAAACAGCTATCGGTATATACCCTTCTTTGTGAGTCGAACCAGCAACAGCCCTGGCAGTAAAAGCCTGCTTAATCAGCCTCAATCTAATAAGGTATGGCCACACTCCAAACTGTCAAGGGATACACACACGCCTGCATTCATTTAAGCCACTTTTAATCCCATAAGAGCAGCACGTTCCTGTGAGGTTCTCACACTCTTGACAAGAGAGACGAAGACCTGAAAAAAATATACAGGAACTGAACATTTGTGAACCTGGAAATCGATGTCTGTTTTTAGCTTTTCGTTAAAAATATGGGCTATGGTGTGTGTGTGTGTGTGTGGGGGGGGGGGGGGTAAGAGTTTCTTACCATGCGGTCATCCACTACCATTTGACCAAGTGTTGTTGTCTGCAGTGGCGACATGACCTATAAGAATACAAGTCATGAAAATATTTACATATACCTACACTTATTATTTGCACAGTATATTTAATGATTCGTAAGACACCGACACAAGAACAGCCCAAAATGTTAAAGGAACTAAAGAAACCCAATATTTGTCCCTGGCGGGCCGAGGTCAATATAATTTCCTATACCGGGAACTTAAAAAAGAGCATAAGGCTAGATTAATCGTACATCAAGTTAAAATTATGTCAAACAATTTGCTACCCCTGCCTGGTCCAGCACGATCAAAATTTGAAGCGGCCCGGCATGGTGAGCCCGATCCTTCAATCTGAGCTTCCTCTCCCATCGCTCACCTAGATTAGGCTGTGGTGGGGTAGTCAACTCTTTCACCTAAAGATGGAACAGGAACCATTCGTAAATTCTAAGACAGTATATAAAATAACTAAGATCTTTCGATTAATGTCGAAATTACTACTTGTTTTAGCAAGAACAGTTACAGGTGGTCCTGATCTTACCTGCGCACGGTTTACAACTTTACAGGCCCTCACACCACGCATGACCTGCACCTCTGAAACGATCATGCTGCCTTCACTAATAGCCACAGAGTATACCGTTCGTATGATCACACCACACATACAACACTCACCTAAACGCGTTCCGCAATTAAAATCCGAATGCTTACTTCATTTAGAGAAGAGTTTCGCCTGCCTATATCTCAAGTCCTTACCCAACAATTACTATCTACACCAAGAACGAGTTGCGGAGATGTCTGCTGAACAAAAACTAAAGCCCGTGGAAAACTGTTAGTAGTCTGGCAGATGAACGAGGTCGGCGAGTTCAAGTTCCGAAAGGTTTGTTATAAAATAACGAAAAACTAGGTCGCCCAAGCTCGTCCACTCACGGAACACTAAACGTAACGCCAGAATGCTAAACTCGGGGAGTTTTATCTCAATTTTTAAATGTTGTTAGAATAGGGTAATTACTGTACTAATATTGTTACGCGCTTCAAAACCACCGTTATTGAAGCGCAGTAATAACATAACAGGCTAAACTCCAGGAAGAAATTCTCAAATGCACCAACCAGACATTTGCCGTGACTTGCCACTAATGGAGAAACCCATCACCCCGGCTAGTTCATGTTTTGGGAGCCATGCAACATTCTCCACCTTCACGAGTACTGTAATAAGACCAGCTTTTTTTGTGTGTGTGTGAGCTGGGTGATAACTTTCAAAGACATCCAGATACAAGCAAGGTGAATCATAGGAGCAGCAGGAAGCCTTGCCGGCGGAGAGGGGGTTGGTGTGGGGGTGGATGGTGATGGTGCTCCAGGAAGGACCTCCACCATGGCTCCAGGCCTGACTCAGCGCCAACACTGGTCGCTCACTAAACCAGCTCTCTCCTGTTTTACAAAATCTGACCACCTCACGCTGCTGCACCAACATCACCCATTGTTGCTTCCCCATTACCTTGTAACTTATTGTACTTATATCAACCTAAAACCATTATTCATTACCTCCCTTTAAAGGACTCTTTTATGTTACCAGTTCACCTGAATGTACTGCTTGGGAGAATTCAACAGAAGAACCTCAGAGATAATTTAGATAAGCCAGCCACAGTAAACCCAAGTTCAAGAATAAACCCACTTGGATGTGACTTTACAAACCCAGGTCTGAAGATGAGAAATGAAGCTGGTGAAACATTGCAATCCCAAGGTCTGAATAAGAAAAAGAAAACTATATATTTAGGTTCAGTTCAAATATAGAATCAAACTCAGGTTTTCAGTATGTTCAACTGTGGAATCTACTATAAAACAACCGACTGTACAACAAATAATAACCAAACAAAATATCAATTCTCAACGCCATTATGCGAAAATGGTGTCCCCACATCCATTGCACGGATCTGAGTAAAGATATAAAATAACCAAGCCACACGACCCCAAACATTCTTCATCGACTGTTGGACAAAAAAGAAAAACTGTCCGGATTTTGCACCGAACAATAGGATGTGATGGTGGCGTGAAAGCTCAAAAATAGTCACCCCCTAAAGGGACTGGAGCCTAGGAAGAGGCTCCCGGCTCCTCAACTTCCGCCACCACCTAAATCATCATAACCTACTGTACAAGTTGTCTCCTTGTACAGTCCTTTGTGGTGTTTTTTCTTTTATTTACACCAACAAATAAAAGCTCCGTTACAAACAAAATTATGACGTTTTCTTTGAGGGAAAGCAATCAAAGTTAGGCTATGGGGCTACTGGATATCGCCTGACCTTTGTTCAATGGTGTAAGATGCTTTCGTTTAAAAAGCCTATTGTTTGCATTGTATATTCTTTGTACTCACCCCTGAAGCTGTGAATTACACGAAAGCGCCTGGGAACTTCGTGTCTTCTTGTTGTTATCAGCATATACTTGTATCACGCGCACCTACAGTGATTTATTATATATATATATATATATATATATATATATATATATATATATATATATATATATATATATATATATATATATATATATATACATATATATATATATATATATATATATATATATATATATATATATATATATACTGTATATGCAAACCATCACAAATACATGCCTATCACTCCTTTTTACCGACAAGTGTGTGTGACACTACTTGGGGGTTAAATTAGATTAGCGACAGGGTGATTAATCTCCAGGTGGAATAAGCTGGTGGGGAGAATCTTCAGGCGAGGCATTTTTCCTGATACGAACAGCCAGACAACTAGGAAAACTTACGACTGACTGGGTGACCAACACCACCACTATTTATATTTTATCCCTTTCTAAAAGTCGCCAGGTTGATGACTAGGTACAAAGTTTGACAATAAAACATTTCCTGGAGCCTCGTCCTCCAACCCTACAGCTTCCGACCTAAATACCTGCCAGGTAACACACATGTCAAGCCTTATTAACTTCGAAAAATTCACTTCTCGGTAAGTTAATTGACGTAATTTATTAAAATTTCAATATCTACCGGCACCAGATACATCCTCACGTTTGCTCTTTCCAAATCTTACGTTGCCCCTCAAGTTTTTCCCTTCCTACTGCTTTCTCCTAGACTTCACACCTCAATTCACCAATACAATTTATACTATAAACATACCTGCATACATAATTGAAGTAAATCAGTACAGATATATTAATTCCTATAAGTACCAGGATCAAAATATGATGCATCCACCTGTGATTACACACCTACGTCCTGCAACAGCAACCCCACCCCCCTTTACAGCCGGCGCTGCGTGAGACACCCCCCCGCAACACTTTCACCCACACCCTCTCTAGAACGAGGCCAGACTGTGGGGTCCAAGCCGGTTCTTTCCCACGTTATCAGTCGACCTGTGCCGGCGTCTGCACCAGCTTAACACGAGGAATACTAGCCTTCCGCCCCACAGTATTCAACAACTTTAACCCAATCCTAAAATTAAGACAAAATTAAGTATTAGTAAAAACCAAAAACAATAACTGGGTGATGGAGTTATGATGCAATTTCAATGTGAGTACATAAGATGATACCTTCAATTTATACACAAGATATGAGTATAATGTACAGTATACACTACACTAATTCTGATATGTGCTTGAATGGCCTGTGGTTGTGATTTTGAAAGAAATTTTGCTTACCTACAGCACACTATCATATCTAAATTTATATATATATATATATATATATATATATATATATATATATATATATATATATATATATATATATATATATATATATATATATATATGTGTGTGTGTGTGTGTGTGTGTGTGTGTGTGTGTGTGACTTCGAAAACATCAAACATAATTAGTACTAGACAGAAAAATTATAGGAAGATACCCAGTACTACCAGTTACCTTTCATCGAGTAATTAATCAACTCAAAAGTTAGAATATGCGAAACTAGACCATTAATATATGACGAGGCATTTTTTCCTTCTAAGGAAAAATGAAAACCGCTCTATCAAACCACCCCTGCGAAGCTAACATACACACGTTTTCCAACTCGTAAATTCTGGCTAGTACAACAAATATTAAAAACATTAATTCACTAGGACATGTTCATACTCACCAGTGACAGGTCACACCTCGTAATATACTTCCAGCTGAATCTTTCGTAAGAACTGAGTAAAGTATCGTTGGCTTCACAAAACACAAATATCGACGATTGATATAACGTTCCGAATTAAAAATCACTAGTAACTAAGTCAAACGCAAAGGAGAGAATTGTACCAGTAAAAACCAACGTAGATAACACTGATCTGACGTACAAAGTAGTCATAACAGTGCCACGCGGTCCGACTAATTACCAAAATGTACCCAAATGTAGCAAAATGTAGCCGCAATGAAGTCAAATAATGGTCCTACGTGAATAAATCGGACTGCTAATCACTTCTCGAAAAGTATTTGGTGTGACAGTCACAAAAAATTGGAAAACTTACTTTAATCTGAGTTAAAAGATCGCGTGCATGTACCGAGGGAGCGAGTAATTACCCAAATGTAGCCGCAATGAAGTCAAATGATGGTCGTACAAGCGTAAATCGGGCTGTGAATCACTTCTCGATTATTATTTGGTGTCATAAAGTCACAAAAAATTGGTAAACTTAATTTAATCTGAGTTGTGTTGTGTTAGGTTAAGTACATGCACTCGATCTATTAACTCTAGATTAAATTAAGTTTACCAATTTTTTGTGACTTCGTGACACCAAATACCAGTCGAGAAGTGATTGGCAGTCCGATTTATTCATGTAGGACCATTATTTGACTTCATTGCGGCTACATTTGGGTAATTAGTCGGACCCGTGCCACGTGCGTCATAATGTTTAAAACCACTATGTTTAGGCAAGGTAAGAGTCATATGTCATACCTTCTGGGTCATTCATTCTAAAGTAAAAAATTAATTTGGTCAGTGACAATGAGAGATACTGTTAGTGCGTGATATTTACTTATATACGTTTTGTTAATTTAGTCCAAGGTGGCCAAATAAGGCCACTGTGTAATGTGCAAGCAACACGTCAGCTTTGATAAGTGAATAAATTAGTTAATGTTTCCAAACACTGAATAAGATTTTTGATGTTAAGTGTAGTGCAACTATTGTACAGTATTAATATTTTACTGTGAAATACTCAAATACCTGAAGAAATGTTCTACTGTACACCACCCACAACAGGAGTAACAATAAGGATGACTGATGACGTAATGATGAAAATGACTCATGAAATTGATATGAAGAGATAATACTGGTTCACCGATTACAGATATTGGTTTATAAGGCAGGATTTCAGCTGAAATTTTAGTTTCTCAACAAAGTACACCAAATGCTTGGTCTAACAGGAAAATCCCCGCCCCCTCCATCCCTTTCACCCCATCACTCAACATGGAACTGGAAAATGTAAACCGTGGTTGTATTGGTGGGAAGGTGGGGACTGACACCAAGCGAGTTAGTATGGGGCGAGGACCTTTAATGAAAGCGAATTTCATTTGTTTATAAGTAAACATTTACTTCGTTAAATACCCTCTATTCCTAACAAAAATAGGGGATAGTTCTTGATAGTCCACATAAAAAGTTTCTGCGAAATGTGGTTTTATAGAAAATTACAATAAGCTATTACGACACTACGAATACAACACTAAAAATATTTCCAGTGCTGCATATTTTTTCTCATATAATTGATAAACTGAAAACTTTCAAATTAGAATAGGTATACAATTTGCCAAGTACATTTCACAAGGCAGGTGGCAATAATTACAATCAACCTCATAGACGAATTCAACAGGATTTCCAGTTGTAAAATTCTTGTAAATCCTACACTACTGTAGATAAAACATAATACACAGGAAGATGAAAACAGGTATACTGTGTATGTATATATAAACCAACAAACAAAAAAGAATCAGAACTTTGAACCTCATAATAGCAACTGAGATGAAAACAATAGGTTTTTGTGTCCGCTGTGAACACCTGTAGCAGAGGCGACGTGGCAGCGTCATGACAGGAGCACGCTGCCACCCATATGAGGCACGCGGCCCAGCCAGCCACAACACATATGGTCCCCCACAGACTCCATATAATAAACACAATGTTAATGTCAATATAGTAAACACCAAGTATGCATATCAATATAACATTTACACTTAAAAAAAATAAAAGTATCGACTACGAATTGGATAAAAAAGAGCAAAATATGGGAAGTGGGAGGTAACCTGCCGGCTCTCATCTCAGCTGATTTTGACACGCACAACAGATGCTCACTCGTTAATCCCATCCAGCTGTTTTAAAGAAGCACGTACAATGAATTCACATTAATAACAACAATTAACATTCACTGAAAGACAAATTAAGATAAAGTCTTTCACACTCACCATCTTCCAGTCAATAGTACCAGAATCAAGGACTTCCTCCTTCACATCTTGGGAGTAAAGTCTCTCTGAAGTGCTGAACAGGGTATTTCTAAACCCGTCCAGGTCCTCCTCCTTCACTTCCTCAGAGTCAAATCTTCCTGAAGTGCTGAACAGGGTATTCCTAAACCCGTCAAGGCCCTTGCATGTAGGATCCTCCTTATCAAACAGGAGGTCCAGCATTCCGAAGTCCGTTGAACACATTTTTTTGCAGTTGAAAGGCCTTCTATTCGTAGTAAATATGCATAAGTTCTTTAAATATCTTACTTTCACTGCCACATCACAACTTTGTTTACTCAAAATGTCTCAGGCTACACCTCGTGTTTCTCTCAAGTCACTGTCCATTAGCGTCTTCACACATCCGATCAGGGTGAGCGTCAACCGGCAACTGATCGTCATTAGGCCAGTTCACCTGTTCACCGGTACCTGGATCTTGCCTTCATCATGGTAACGTTCCAGGACGCTTCACAGGCGGAGGAACTATCGCGTACGTCCACCCTTCTCGAGAAACTGGTTTACACTAACACCAAATATACTGTTCAGACAAAATAAGGTTATCGTTCATTGGAGGCGAGTTCATCATTTTTATCTCTTATTATAGTTTCTTTCGTATGACATGAATTAACCTGCAATATGGGGATAAAGACATCCAAACTATCATGTGAAATGCTTTATAACTAATAATAGAAGCTACAGACGTCCAACAACTATGCAATATTGCGTGGAATCTGAGAACAAAATATACAGAAACACACCGAGTAAATGTGAAAAAGAGAAGCTCTGCTAGAATGATCTGTTTTTAAGCTCCGCCTACTGCTAGCCTCACGCCGGGTCCCTCGCGCATGGCTCGTGGAGTAGTTTCTAATTTATTATTTATTTTAAATACATATACCTCAACCTATCGGTGCAGTGAGTAATTCAGTGACTCTCACAACATGAAATAATTTTGATAATGTATTTAATCACCCTTTTGACCTCATGAACACCAAGACATCGTAAAAATACGGATAACAAAAATCTGTGAAGTGGCAAGTTGTCAGGCAGTGCATTTCAATTTAATATTTGATAATATTTTCGAATTTAAAATAAACGGGCAATTGGAATAAAGCTTGACAGATAAAAGAATGTTTTCTGAAATTGTTAAGAACACACACACATTACAGTACACCTTACATCTTAATATGATAATAGACAAAACCTATGGCGCGAACTTCAAGTTTGACGTTCGTGAATGGGGCGTGGCAGGTTAAAAAGCCAGCACCAGCGTCCAGCTGGAGCTGGATGATTAACAGTGACGAATTGTATGCTTCAGACAGTTTTGCTTAACATCGAGAAAACCAGTGTTGAATGTCAGCTTTGGTAATTGAACTGCAAGGTTGTCGATATATTATACGAGAGATATAAGGCTGATTACAGAATTTACTTTAATCAAATAGTTATAAATATAATCGACGTTATGAACATTGCCAGTCAGTATGAAATTTGTTTCTGTTTTATTAGTCCTTTATCTACGGACAGAAAAGAACCGTAGTGATATACAAAAACGTAAATATATTAGAATAGGTGGGGACAGTATATAAAAATAAAGAAAGTGAGTGACACTCCGATATCATGTTATTGATCTTAATGTTAAAGTTAGGTATCCAAGTTGTAAAATTATGCTATCGTAACACTCTTATCTGTCATACATTAGTTAAATGTTATGCTATCAGATAGTTATGGCGATAGGGCTGAAATTAAAAGGGAATTTTTACCCTTGCTCCAATACAAGTCATTAGTGCTCCGATACTGTACCGTTACCTGATATAAAATAAACCACGATCGGCTGTTTACTCAGAATTATAAGGCATTGAGGAAAATTGGAAATTATGAAGTAAAAAATGTCAAGGAATTATTATAGTGAGCATCTAATATTAACTAATAGTTAAAATTATCATAACAATATATTTCCCCTACTAGTTCGGGTAAATTATTTAATTTCGGTCATCAGTGAGAACCCGGGGTTTTGGGTGGGGGAAAATCACAAAAACTAGTGATTTCCGACACATATGAAGGTCCAAATCGTTCAAAACACATCGAAAACCATCGAAAAAAATATAGTTTGGATTATCTAACGTAACATAACCAACCTAACGTAAACAGGATGACCGAAAATAAAATAATACTCAAATTTGAATTATAGTTAAGAGTGAGATTGCGACTTGAGATATTTGGCCATCTTTCTATTAACGACTTAAAAACTAGTTGTAATCTTATCGAAAAACGGGTAGGAATATGGTTGGACTTGTCTTTCCCTATCTTTAGGCGGGCATATACAATTTACAGATGTTTTGGCAACATTCAAAGGCCGCCAATATAGACTATCAAACCTAAAATAGTAATACATGTTAGATTATATAGATACGCAGCGTTCTGTGATTCTGATTCAACCTCTAAGCGCATTTTTTTTTCTTTTTTTAGGTTGAGGTGGGGAAAGGATGGAAGGCATGCTGGGGCTCAAGGCACAGCCAGACATGAGGGATGGAGAAGCGTATCATGAGTAATCGACGTTTTATCTCAATTTCCTGGATATTAAACGTTTTATCAAAGATCGTAATCAACTTCCAATTTAATTAATACTGGATAATCAATGTTAATTATAAAGTCCTGGATAATCAAAGTTCATTCTATAACACACTGGACAACACAGTATACTTTCATTATAGCTATAATAAAGATTAATCAAAGTTACGGTAATTCTATAACGTACAGGATAATCAGTCATTCTATAGCATCCTGGATAATCACTGTTCATTATATAATATTGAATAATCAAAGTTCATTCTATAACATCTTGCATAATCAATATTTTCAGATCCTAAATAATTAGCATTTAAGTGATTAGATCCAGGATAATTAAGGTTCTATCAAAGATCATGGATGTATAATCAACGTTCTATCATTCTGAATAATTAACGTTATATGAACCTTGATAATCAAGGCTCCATGATCCAGGATAATTAACGTTCTACGATCCTGGATTATTAACGTTCTATGATCCTGGATAATTAACTTCTATGGTTCTGATAAACAACCTCCAAAGACCCACTATCAAATTTTCTGGTATAACAAACATTTTAGCCATGAGAATCCACCTTTAACCCAAAGTCTTTGATAAAAAAGTTCTACCCAAGATCTTCGATATATAATCAACGTGCCTATATCCTGGGTGATTATCGTTTAACTTATTATTTTGTATAATCAACGACCTATAATCAGCGTTCTTCTATCCAAGATAACGTTCAACCCAAGATCGAGGGTAATCATCGTTCTCCTACCAATTCTGGATAATCAACGTTTTATTAAATATCATAGATAATCAGCGTTCTAATGTCGAGGATAACGTTCAATTGAAGATCCTGAATAACCAGCAGTCAATTCTTGCATAATTGGCGTTCTTTTATATCCTGGATAATAAAAGTTCGACCTCAGATCATGGATAATCAACGCCCTAATAACCAGGATAATCAATATGCAATCAAAGCTTCTGTATAGTCAAAATTCTACCCTAGGCAATAGAAAATCTTTTTAGTCCGATTGTCAGGTCAAATCCTAACATTCTGACAAAGAAAAAAAATTTCCTTTCCTGTCTATACATCTCACTGTCACGCGTTCCTCCCATCTCAGCTTATGATCAATTGGAGTGGAACTGGAATCTGCTATGCACTTTAATAAGAATGATGTCTTCACGGGCAATTTTCATATTTTAGCACATTTTCTATTCGTAACTAGGATTAGATGTCAATATATGGAAATTATGTCTTTGCACTTGTGATATTTCCGAACAAGAATTTAATCATAAATATAAATAAAGTCTTATCAATTGTATCAATTTTCACTTCACTGGTATTATGCATCTGAGTTTGAAGATTAAATTAGGAAAGTTAATATATGTATATCTAAGTATTTCTAAAGATAACAACACATATAATAACCATGAGCACTTATAAGTTTCTTTGTACAGATTAATTAAATGTCGCACTCTTTCATATTTATATTTCTCTTCTTTGAAAATACTGTAATTTCTTATGTTCTGTTTATTTACCCACAAAACAAATGAATGTACGTTACACAAAACAGATCAAGATATTTAATTTTCTTGATATGCAATTTTAATTCATTGATTGGTTATGATTAATTTCAATTTGCACAAGATTTTCAGTGAGATCCTTTTTATTGGGCCTTGTTTCAAAACCCAGCACAGCAAATAATTTCGTCGTTTATTCATGATCCTTAATTACAGTGGTTTCCATTGTTACATTTTTATATTTAATAGAAACTTAATAACACAGAACGTAGAGCAGAAACACACCTGCAAGAGCACAACGACACGAAGACTGAGGCTGGACACTGATCAACCCACCTCCCACTGTAATAATACTAACCTGCTGCCTTGCGTCAGAAAATTGCCAACGCGGAGGTTTGCCTTTTTGTTATCCCACGAGAATATGGTTGTAAACAATAACCTCATATAATGTATACAGACAATAATTTGTTATAAATTTGATCTATATCGTTACATATTTTCAGGTTTATATCATTTATTTGTAGATAGTTACGAAGACATTTCAGTATTAAAGTCGGATGGCATATTTAAGTGTCGAAAAATCCGTGGGATTATTTGGTGAGTTCTCCAGCGCCTGCGTTCAGAAACCCTTGCCCACATTTGCCTCCACGTAGACGTGTTGCACCACTGTGACTCAGATACACAGTGTGTATGGACGTACTGGTGAAATATCAGCAGATATTGCGTATATGGTGTATAAAGATGTTTGTATAAGGGCTGAAGGAACTGCCTGTGACAGTTATTGTTAGTTATTTCATTACCTAATAATCCTTTAAGAATTTAAGGGGTAGTGTCGCACTTGGGTATCTTATTCCAGCTAACGCCAGGCGATTTTAATGAGCTAAGAAAAATCCTTACCACTTAAAGGGTAAAAACCTGCCACGATCAATCGCTGTTTCTAATAATAATATTAACAAAATAATTATAACAATCATTAACACCAATGAAATTATACTTCATCAAAAACAACAACTAATACTACAACTTTAATAATATGCCGATGATGATAATAATGATGACATTAACATCTATATAGTATATTTCCAGTCTGGGCAGGCACCTTCACCTTAATACTGTACTGTATACTCTTATCCCAGAAAATACGTCAAACATAGGAAACTGGTATAACGCTCCATATTCGCAGTTCACTAAATCAAATTATATTTTAGGATTTTTAACATACGCAAGATCATTGGAATGACTCATAAGATTACGTAGAGAGCAGGATGACGCAATAATCACAAAATGTTAACATGTTGAAATTATTGTAACAAGCCCAGCGTGACTTCTTTCCTATGACGTATTAAGCGAATGGGCCCGGGCTAGATCGCCGGGCGGGGTGAGTTAGCTATTTAAAAAAATATTTTTGCGATTTGCATGTCTAACCAGCATACATACATACATACATACATACATACATACATACATACATACATACATATAATACATACATACATACTGTCAGTGCTAGTGGGATGGAATGGGCCCCAACTCATAATGAAATGGCACGATCCCCAGACAGTGTGCCCAGTCCGCCATTAAGTTCCACACAGTGGCAGCATCATAACTGTGGTGATTCACCCTGGATATTAAATTTGAGATGTAATATGGGAGAAGCCTATAGTGAGGATGAGTGGTGATGGTGATAACGCTTACGTGGTAATCAGTGTTAGTGGGAGCTAGAGCAGAGGGTGACTTACAACACCAAGAATTAGGTTATCATTAACGCTAAAAGAGAACCGGCAAATTAAAAAATAAATAAATAAATAAAAATAAAAATTAATAACTTATCTAAAAAGAAAATTTAGGGGGCATAAATTTTGGATTCGTTTTGATTCATCACGTTGAAGTATACAATACTATATTTTGTATGTTTACAGGCTATTTTATTCAAATACCCCTGTATATCCAACATGTAAAAAAATGAAGAATATGTGAAAAATCGCTTTACTTCATTATTGTATACTTCAGGAAGCGTAGGTATATATGACGTCACTTACACGTCACACCAAAGACTTATTTTCAATAATAGATGGTACAGTACATCGTCTTAACCAGTAATTAAAACTCAATTGCCAACAGTTACTTTACCATTCGGAAGAGTGTGAAGTTAGAAAAAGTAAACAGTGAATGGAAAGAAATTAGATAATTAAAATAAGAGAGAAAAAGGAGACAGGAAAATTAATATTCGTTTGGATAGATCAATAGAGTGACAAGGAGAATGCGAGTTGTGTTTATATCTGGAGGCAGAAGTATCAGTGAATGGAATAATTTGTGCCCAATAAATAATAAGGCAACTGAAAGTGGAGATTCTTTAGTTGATCCAGTAATAATAATAATAATAATAATAATAATAATAATAATAATAATAATAATAATAATAATAATAATAATGGCTGCCCTTTCCCTCTATGCTACACTATGTCTGGATTCAGGAGCAGTTTTTTCTTCTATACAATTCTCAAAGCCCCTATTATTGACCTAACCTGACCTAACTTCCACTCAAATAATATTAGGGTGATTAATCTTTAGGTGAAATAAGCTGGTGTGTAGATTATTATTATACAGTATGTATGTATTATTATTTTTGTATGTTTAAAAGTAAGTCTTAATCAGTGACAGCGGACGCCTAGGGCAATTCAAATCTCTCCTACTATTCTTGCTTCAGTAAATAGTTAAATGTTTAGTAAAAAAGGTGTGGCTATTGTTAGTTCGTCCCCATCACCACCAATTTGTTTCAGCAACCATAGCACAGCACACATGGTTTTCGGTGTTTCAAGCATTTATGACAAGTTTGTTGACACTGTAAACGTCAACAAACTCAGCTTGTCCCTTCTCTCCCGCCTTACACGGGGAATTCCCCTTGGATGATGTAATACTCGGGATCCACTTCGCCATATCACACTCCTACACTTAATATATTTGTTTCAGGCGTAAAATGTTTTATATTAAATTTGAATACAGCGTATTTATTAAACCAACCACATACTGATCAGCAATACCATTTTTATATGCATTACATCCTTTAGAACGTTAATGGATGAGTCATACCAAATTTCTACATTCAACATTGAGTTGCTATGGTAACGTACATAACTACGTCAAAATGACGTCACCAGATAGTTCCCTGAAAATATTTGGGATAATCTGTCGATGCTTTCTCCTATAAGGACACCTATACTTACGGAACCTGCATGGGCCATAAGTTGGTTTAATGTTAATAAAACTGCTAATTAATAAATTGAAAGAAGGCATTTTACAAAGTATTATTGATATCAAATAATGTATACACAAGGAGACCGTGTGCGAGAGTAGCAGTGTGCTAGCGTGGAGCTCTGCCATTGGTGGAGCGCAACGTTGACTCCGCCTATGAGTTACACACCTTTAAGACACACCCCTAAAGCTTGCACACCGAGTACATTATTCTATAGTTGCGTAGTCAGATATACCAATAATAGAATTTACTACAATGTCCTTGTAATTAATGAAAAAATGTATAATACAACATACAAAAAAACAAAGAAATGTATATGAAACCAATAACCTTTACAGCTGCCTCCACAGAAGCTTTCCTTAAACCCAGCTGATTCGCGGTCGGTTTAAACATTTTCACGCCATCCCGCAACTGCAAAATTTAGTTGGTGACCGATGTCTAGCTATTTATAATATTTTGTGGCGCCACATATCGTCGTATGCTTAAATGTTGCACTTATTAGACAAATATAAGAATGGGCATGTATGAATAAGTATATTTTTTAAATGAAACGTATTATACTTCACGCGAACAACTTTTGCGAAGTATATTAATCCGATAATGCTATACTGTATAGTTACCATACCGAGCTATTTGTTTATTTAAACACATAACTGCTGACGTTATCTTGAAACTTTACCTAGCATTAGTGAGGCCACACATGGATTATGCGGTTCAATTCTGGTGTCCTTATTATAGAATGGACATAGATTCTTTGGAGAGAGTACAAAGAAGAATGACAAAAATGATCCATAATATTAGAAAACTTCCATATGAAGAAAGACTGAAAAGCTTAGGCTTGCATTCATTAGAGAGGCGTAGAGTTAGGGGAGATATGATAGAGGTGTTCAAGTGGGTAAGTGGGATTAACAAGGGTAAAATGGAAGATGTTCTGAAGCTCAGTAATAACGAAATAACTAGAACAAATGGCTTTAAATTAGATAAATTCCGATTCAGAAAGGATATAGGCAAGCACTGGTTTGGTAATAGAGTTGTGGATATGTGGAATAGGCTACCGAGTGCTATAGTAGGATCGGGGACGCTAGGGAGCTTCAAGACGAAGTTGGATAGGCACATGGAAGTGCTGGGATGGGTGTGAAAGGGATCTGCCCTGTATGGGCCAGTCGGCCTCCTGCAGTATCCCACTTTCTTATGTTCTTATGTTCTTTACTGTCACTCGGAATCGAGTATGACGATCATCCAACTTTACACATACACACACACTAATTGTGTCTTCCTATATTTTTATTGGTATTGTCTTTTGAAAATATTACTTACCATAGATTCTTCTGATAAACAAGTGGCAAGAGGCAACCCTAGCTAGTTCACCGAGTTTACAGTCGACATAAGTTTGTTATCACACCTTACATTAAAATCATTTATTCTTTTGTTTTCTTAATCTAAAAAATATTCCTTCAGTCTTCCCAAGATGTAGGAGCAACTTGTTGTTTATCAGTCGTTGCTTACATGACTCCAGATAATAACACGTTAGCTATATCCTTTGGATATCTACCACTGAGAGGGCATTGTCATCATTATACAACAGTTTACTTTTAATGATAATGGGAATGCTATTTACATAACATAATAAAAACAATGACCCCCAAGAAATTACTTTGTGGGACTCCGCAAGTCATTCACAAGGATGCTCATTCAGCATTTATCAGCATTAACAATTTGTTTTCTGTTATTTGGACTTAAACTAGTAAACAGATCTACACTAAGAGCTTGCAATTTTTCACATATGATCCACCATCACATAACAAAGTGTGGATTTTAGATAATTTGGTTTCACACTGTTGATTACAGAGAGCTTATTTCTGAGTCTGTAGAGTGCTGAGTCCTTATCCAGGTGTCGCACCTGGCCCCCATAAGTTGCTGGCATAAGGACACTAATGGAAATATGGAAATAAGCCTCTCGTGGCTTTGTCCGCTGTTCTTGGTCAAATTGACGGAAAACACCCTTTGTACTTCTCTTCTGCTTGATATTATTATTTGTGTTCATTTATGTTCTTAGGAAGAGTTTGAAGTATTTCTATTTTTAGATGTGCCTTCGCTTACCTCTTGGCTTCGTCAAATAATCGGTAGAATTTCCTTGTAGACGTGTCGGTTCATCAGCAGCTCACTTACTGAACTATTGGCGTGCATCATACACCAGCAGCACCGTTGTGTATCATAATTCACCTGAATATCATAATATGTAACCAAGAGAATACTGGGTACAACGACAACATGCGTTTGTGGGTGCATGTGTGTGTGTGTGTGTGTGTTGATGATGTACGAGGAAATTATCTGTATTTATTTCTATAAATATAAAAATATTTGTATACTGTGTTTATATACAGTGCAGTCGAAAAGCAGAATTTGGACTTGGGTGGGGATCTCAACGTTTCTCAGCATGCGTCAGCCAGTCTTGGGGACCTGGGGGACCGGTCACCCTTGTCCGCCGTTCACATCTCTGTCCTCTCTGTGATTTTGTACCAACGTGCACAGTACGTCGCTGAAGTTCTCATTTGCGTTTGACGTGTAAAGTTATGCAATTGAACGACGCATATCTGTTAATTATTCGTGGTGATAAAATTACTGTATAGTGTCTTTGAAGTGATTCTGTATATATATATATAGTGTATACTGTACATAGCGCAGTTCGTCAGTCGCTTATGTTACTAAAATAGATTCGGACGACGTGGCACCAGCAGAGCAGCATCACTGGAACAGGACAAACATTAGGGGTATGGCTAGTAAGAAATATAATTGAATAAAAGATAATCATGCTGTTACATAATATAATGACTTCATCGAACAAGAGATTAATCAGATATATAATGGAAGACCAAAGGATAAATCCATATGAGTGTTGGATCGAAGAAGTACTGTAGAGAAGACATGCAATAAGTACGGTATTAATATCAATGACGTGAAAAATTATGGGAAGTGTACGGTACTTTAAAGCTAGAACTGAAGCCCAAAAATTTGGATAGTTGTATCAAAAACCATAGAAGAAAAGAAGGAAACAATGAAATTACGTCATGATTTAATAATTGGGGAAAACAGAAAAGACTTAGTACAGTTAAGAAGTCAGTAAGCAGTAGTGACCCTTAAAGTAAGACTTATGCTTGAACTAAGTTTATTATTATCACTACACATAAATGTTAGATACAAAATGTGACATGGATGGGAAAGAGGACGACAGGGCAAACACATATTTGTATGATTATAATTATTGATGTCTTACAATTATTAACAAGTGAATATAAAAAAATTCTACAATTTTATTCAGTCATAACAAGTGAATGAAGCGGACACTGCGCTGTACACCTACTCATATGAAGGTGTTTGGACCACAACAGCTCTCTATCATCCTGACAGAGTGTCTTCAACATTCTGCACCCACTGACTGTATTTACCCTCAAAGCAATACCAAAACAAGTGCTCTTGACCACACACAAACAAACACACACACACACACACACACACACACACACACACACACTCCAGACTGTAAACACCATCACATAGACTACTTTTACTGTCTTTGGAAAGGCTGGATATGCTGTCACTAACTCGACCTAATCCTAATGGTAGAAAACTAGAGAAGAGAGTCAGCATAGGGTACACACTAAATTAGCAGCTGTCCTTAGTAAACTAAAAATATTAGAAATTTATTCTAATTACGTCTGGTACTTTGTCCGTTGGCCATGTTTTAACGTTTATCACTTCATTCATCTCCCCCAGGACATGAATCTGATAAAGATCATTATGCCGAAATTATTTATCAGAAGAGCTGTGGTATGCATGGCGATGGCATGTGTGTTGGTGGTGGTGAGACTACTGGATACTCTCCACCTCACACACTCTTCCGGCCAATACCGACGCTTCTGGACCTCGTCCGCACACTTGGTAGAAGGAAAGTACGTGGATGAATATCTCCCTTTCTTGGTATTTCCTGTACTGGAGGAGAAAATGATGGGCGGCAACATCCTGGAGGAAGCTTTACCAGGGAAAATCTTGTTGGTGCCAGTGGTGCCCCGTCCAACTCGCCCTCTCCACGACCTCCTCAACTATCTTCAAAGGTTTGTCCAAACTGCATCACCCTTCACTGATAAATAATGCTGTGCGGTATATAGTGAGGTCTGATTAATAAAATAATTTGAAGAAAAAAATTCTTGCTAATAGATATTGCTTTTATGTTCCGTTTACGAAAATTTATTTCCTCGACATTTCCTCGACATTAAAAACATGGCTGGGAGGTGAAAAAAACTACTGTACTATTTATGCTCTGTAGCTGGTTCACGATCAACCATGTAGCGCAAACAAACACAGGCCCCTCATCGCCGAACCCAGATGTATTAGTGTTTTTATGTAAGTTTCGATTATATTTTCAGTGCTTTCGGTAATCTAATAAAATTTAGAGAGAAAAATCACCTGAGCCGAGCTGCGTGTTAGTAGACGAAGTAATCAGTCACCCTAACCTTTAGAGTAACCTTAGACCGTAGTGATTCTCATCGCCTAGCCCAGTTGATGTAATATTTCTATATAAATTCCATATACAATGGTGATGGGGCCACAGGTCACTGCCACCAATGGAGATACAGCTGTTGCAAGAGGGAGCTAACATGACACAGAGCAAGGACAGACTAGAGACCATCAACGACTACTATAGGTACCTGCAGACACCTCAGGTCTCCTGCCACAAGCTGGTGAAACTGGGCGGGGCTTACTGCATGAACAAAGTGGATGACAAATACCACTTTGACGGCCACAAGGTGAGTCTTTCCTTCACCGTGTCCTGTGTTAGCCTCCACCAAGAAGTTTAAGGCATTCTTCTTGTACTGTACATTGAATATTGATGTTATTGTTTCGTGTATTTTACAGTTTTACACTTGGTTTTGTTCACAGGCATGTCTTACGTTACAAATGTTGGTTTATGTTAAATATGAATTTCGTAGTTCTATTATTTCCACTTACACAAGTCGTTTCGTATACCGACGTATCATAAACACATGGCCGTATCGGACTGTACACACATCCAGTGTAATTAAAATTTACATGATAATAATGTGCAAAATAAAGTAGAATACAAAATAAACTGGCCTTAGAACTTGAAGTAAAATAAAGAACAAAATAGAATTTTATGCACAAATAGGCTGACCTAATCAAAATTATCTATCCTATCCTAACCTAACAAAACTTCCGTAAGTTAGCATATCGATCAAGCCAACCTAACATAAGTAATCTAACCTCACCTAACCACCTTAATTATAAAAGCAATAATACCTGAAACGATCAACATGTTGTGCTTGAAAATGGTGCCATTCCCGTGCGCGAGACGACCTTGTATGAAACAACGGTTATGAAACTACTTCTAGTGTGATGACCAGCATTCGTTCAAGGTGCTGTCTCTCTCAAGTCGACGGACAACTATGATCAGTGACAAAGGATGAATCTCACTTGGTTCTACCCTGTGTGCCTCCCTCCTCCAGGTGTTATAAACTGCACCACTCCCTCACGTATGGATGATACAGTGTATCGTCCTAGCAGGTCTCACATGGACTAAGGAATCATGGTATCGGGAAACTCAAGTTATTTTCAGTCTAAATTGTTATAATTCCTATTTACTTCGGCTTCACCTACACAATAACCACACGCTCATATTTAACTTAGATTCTGGGGTGGACCTCCCCAAATTAAACGTTTATCTTTCTTCTTAATTATGCACAAGTCTATGTGGTTAGGCGTCGCAGTTTGGTCATTGGAGTATATAATCATAGTAGGATAATGACAGTGTTTCCTATAATCTGGTTGACTAGGAACCCCAGTAATACGAATCAGACATATGAACCTGTAGTCATCATCAGTAATTAAGTTATATTTACGGCCAGAACGCAGAAATCCCAGACACCAGGAAGACACAGGGGGTTGTGAGGGTCGTACCAGGAGCTGTTTATAATATATTTCTCATCGTGTACCGGTATATCCTCGCAGTAAATGCCTAATTATATAATAAGTTTTCTGACAGACGACATCTGCTGGAGATCACACTTTGACAAAGTTTATAATCATAGGTACAATTAGTTTTAAATTAAACCGTCGTATTTTTTTTTATCATCTGGGCTCTGGCCGTCACAGTGTGTGTGTATGGATCCGGAGCTGGAGATGGTGGGAGCCAGGGACACCCATCAGTGCCTCACGCTCTCCTTCGGCACTCAGAGAGACACCACTTTCGATGATGCTGCCTCCGATCTCCCCTGTGAGGTGCACATGTTCGACATATTCAACTACAACCCGCAGCTGACGAGGGAGAATAACCATACTTACTTTCATGTTGTGAGTCTTTGGCATCTTGTTGGGTAGACTATAGGGTTCAGTTAGTAAAGATAGTATGTTAATTTTTGTCCTCGAGCCTGGGGATTTCAGAACGTCACTAGTCTTTATACAATATATCTGAAATTTCGGCCACCACCATTATTGATATTAAGTCATCCAGTTATATGTGTTCTTAGATATCCAGTTACAAGAGCGAGACCCAAACACGAAATTAAGAGATTCCGGGACCCGCCTATACACCCGGTGATAACTTTACTGATACCGGGAGGAACTGGAATGGTGGTGTGGAATAGTGTTTTTCTGTACGTGTGACAGAAACGTACAAAAACAGAAGAGGTAATTTGTGTGTGCCTGAGTGTGGAGGTGCATGCTGGTGTATATATATATATATATATATATATATATATATATATATATATATATATATATATATATATATATATATATATATATATATATATATATATATATATATATATATATATATATATATATATATATATATATAAGTATGTAGGTATTTTTTATGTAGAATTATAGTGTAAAATTTAAGGAAAACTAAATGCAAAAGTTGAAATATTTAAAACTTCTTTGTTGTTAGTATTCCACAATTTCTATCAGTTACAAAAGATATCAAGAGTAATCAATATCAAAAAAAATAATAATCAAATGTTTTCATCTTTCTCAAAGGATGAAGAAACAAGTGTTAGATTAAAAAAACACATAAAATACTACATTAAATGGAACCTTAAGACTGCCAGCATCAAGCCTCAAGATACTGTAATTGTCAGGTTCAGTAAACTACACTCAGGGGTAAAGAAGTTTTAGCTCCCTGAACACTTTCCTGCATTATACATTACATCTTTGACTCAAGCACTGGTTGACTGTGTGGTCAGAATTTATGATTAAATCTGGCATTGTGTTTCATTCGAAGGAAGGACATCTGTCACATCAGTGATTCAGAAAATAAAGACTTTATGCACATAACAGGTAATTTATGGAAGGGAATATACGTTAGGTTTACGACTTAACTTGGTTATGCATTTCAAAATTACTCTTGAAGAAACTACCTAGTTTTGGATGACGTGAGGTTGCACAGTCTTTTCTGACCTCCGGTGTGCTGACACGTAAGTCAATTATACAGCATTGTTCCCAGTTTAAACAAACCAATGCTGGCGTGTGGGCGGGGCAGCGCGGAGGTCAGCTGTTGACCTACATATGTCCGGGGAAGTTTTCTTGAGGCAATATTTTCTGCCGGGACGACCCCTGGGGATAACCTGACCTACTCAGGTGTGTGTGTGTGTGTGTGATCTGTTTATTTTTATTTGCTGGTACTGTATTTGTGTATTTTTGTTGCATTTATCCTGTATGTATTAGTCTGTATATTATATGTGTGTGCGTGTGTGTGTGTGTGTGTGTGTGTGTGTGTGTGTGTGTGTTTTAGATTTTTCTAATTTCGAGTTTTCACTTTACTTTCTATATACAATTCATTGCATAAATATCAAAAACCTCAAACTGTCGTCCAGTCAGTTCAACATCCTTTACAGGAAAATTACTGGAAGCAGTAGTTATCAAATTCAGTTCATATCTCGAAAAGTGAATTTTTTATTCTCAAAGTAGCATTAGATGACGGTGTTCGTATTTTTAAAATTAATATAATTATTTTCAAGTGTTTTCGAAACTATGGACGATAAACACGACTTTGGTGTGATTTATCTCGGTCTTAGCAAAGCCTTTAATATGGCTGCACACGAATGATTAATAAGAGAAGCAGAGGCACACGGCATTGAAGGGGAAAGGACAGGAAGTAGATGGCCAGCGTTAAAGGTACAAAATATGAATGCGAAAACGTTGTAGGCTCTTCTACAGCAAGACCGTTACTCCTCATTGTTTACACAAATAACATAGATATAGGCGTAGACAGTGACGTACGCAGATTTGTTGACGACACAGAATAGAACGTACTGTATATAATTATCTAGATGAAGATACGAGAATATGACAGGAAGACCTCAACAAGTTGTTGGTAAGGACCCCACATTTGGCTTATGTAATTTAGTGTAAGGAAATGTAAATTTCTAGGGTTAGATAAAAGAGAAAATTGGGGAACTAATTTTCAGCTCAAGAACGAAGGTACTGTACTATACAAAGAAATCTGAATATGAGAAAGATTTTAGGGTAAGAATAATGTAGGGAGCTAAAACCAAGTCAATAATGTATTTATGTGTAGTGTATGATATGGTTGAGAGAGTACTGCGTCTTAAACCTAGAAACGTTAGTAACAGGAGTACATATATTTTTTCTACTTATCTACTTTTAGTGAAACCTCACTTGGATTATGCTGTTCACTTTTGAATAAAGATTCTCTTGAAGAGCATTCACAGAAGGGTAACTTAGTTAACCTCGGACATTAAGTGCTTGCCATATAGGAACAAATGAAACAAAACACTGAAATGGAAGATGGGATCAAATAAAGGTGACATTCATGTCAACTACAGTTAACTAAAACTCAAATCAAGACAGAATTCTCAACAATGGGTTTAAAGTCGAGAATTTTTGGCTTAGAAAGGAAATAGGTAAATTCTGGTTTGGAATAGAGTTGGAAATGAGTTGAAAAAGTTACCAAATAATAATAACTTTAACACAAATACACTGTAAGGTTTTAGACACAGGCTAAACAGGTGTATGAGTCATAATGGTAAAGTGTAAATACAAACAACCTTGCCTGGACCAATAAGCTTACCGCAGCGTTCTTTATTCTTGTGAATCTTCTGTTCTTAAGAATTTGTGAATAACTTTAAGAATGCCTCTCTCTTATTTATCACATTTTCTTTTTAGCATTATCTTTACAGTTTTAATTCTCACTTAGCGGGTCATAATTTTTACAGCAAGAAACTTTTAACTACGAGGAAAGAAGGAATAACTGCCATTTACGACTTTCTAACTCTCTCGTTCTTTTCTTTTGGTCCTCGTTCGTCTTCTTTCTCCCCTTTTCTCTATTAGTCATATTCCTGACTTGGTATCTTCATCACCCCGGCAGGTGGGTCTCTCGAACAAGAGGATAGTGAAGAACTATATCAACATTAACACTACCGTTGAGATGGACACCCTCAGAGGCCACGTTATGAGGAACAACCTTTTCCCTCGACCCATCCACGTGCTGAAGGTAATTCATCCACGTCCTGAAGGTAATCCATACTCGTCCTCAAGGTAATCCATACTCGTCCTCAAGGTAATCCATACTCGTCCTCAAGGTAATCCATACTCGTCCTCAAGGTAATCCATACTCGTCCTCAAGGTAATCCATACCCGCCCCTAAGGTAATCCATACTCGTCCTCAAGGTAACCCATACTGGTCCTCAAGGAGACCCATGACCTATAACACATCACTGAGATGGACAATGAGTGCGCTTCATCCCCCTGACAGGACCACACACATAGGGAGTGGTGGCCACGCTCCTTACCATTGTGTCTCACTGACTGAAGAATATACACATAACAGTCCCCCTTATCATACAGTATCATGTCACACCCACCTAACATGATCTTAGGAGGGATGAGAAATATATAAACGTCTTCTGCCTTACGTATCTCACCTGTCGTTACCTGAGATAAGGAGACCTGATAATTATATTTGAACACTATGTAGGTTGTCTTACTGGCGTGTTATTTCACTTGATGTTTGAAGCGATGAAAGGTATTTACATCTTGGTGATAACTACAATGAGGAGATAGTGGCATGATAATTATTTACAGTATATAACTATCCTCTTCTTCCAGTGTCATATATCCTGAAACACACACACACTTGTTATTAAGAGAAACAGAACTACATCTCAGGTGAACCAATGTTCTTGTTTGTTTTGCCTTAGTAACCTCTACACACTGAAAACATACTTACAGGCGAGGGTAAAGTTTCCTTCCCATAGGTTGACATAGAGCTGGGCGAGTGGGATGCGTTCCGAGACATCGTCCAAGACCCACTTTTTGACGCCGTCGGTCAGGTGAGTCATCCTCATTACCCCTCCTCCTGTCGATGGTGCTACACCCACTATCTCTCCTGTTGTCTCTCCGGTGTGTTTTTTATCTCTCTTCTTGTCTTTGTTGCACGAAGGGTGTAATCTCCTTTCAGCTCTTAATAAGTGATATTTCTTGCCGTCATTCAGAGGACCGTTGATTGATCATCTCTACCTGCTATTATCTACAAAGATAGTGAAGAAAATAGATTAAACGCGTAAGTAGTGACTAGTAACGATGTTACTAAACACAAATAAACTGAAACCTAATAAGTCGCCAGGTCCCGATGAGATATTTGCCAGTATTAAAGGAATGTAAGGAAGAACTTAGTATGCCCTTAGCAAACTTGTTTAACATGTCATTTAAAACGGGTGTAGTACCAAAATCCTGAAGGATACGATTGTGATACCGATTTTCAAGAAGGGAGATAGATCACAATTATCTAACTACCGTCCAATCAGCTTAACATCAATTTTATTGTTATTGAAACAGTTTATTTAGCTAGAAAAACACAGACACAGAGTCGATAATAATAACAATATTAATATGACTGAGCCAATTGAGAGCCTGAGTTCTTGAAGGCACCTTATATATACTGTAGGAAAATGGCTCAATTAATCAATGATTCCCAGCATAGCTTCATAAGGGGGCCTTCATGCCTGGCAAATTTATCATCATTCTTTTAAACTGTTTTCGAATCAGTTGAAGACGGACACGATTATTATGTAGTTTACCTCGACTTGACTAAAGTCTTCGACAGGGTCCTCCATGAAAGACTAATACGTAGGGGGGGAGGGGGAGGCTCGTGGAAATGGATGGGATATTCTAAAATGGATTAGGGCGTTGCTACAGGGCAGGAAACAGAGAATAAGTATTAACGGCACTGAATCCGATTGGAGTAACGTCACTAGTGCAGTATCCCAAGGCTCAGTACTTGGATCATTACTACTTATTATATACATAAACGACATAGATATAGGCGTAGACAACAACAAAAGTAAATTTGCTGACGACACAAAAAATAGGGCGTGTAATTAACTCTGACGAGGACTGCAAAAAATTACAGGAAGATCGAAACAATCTTTTCTCGTGGTCTGAAAAATAGCAGATGAAATTTAATGTGGAAAAATGTAAAGTTTTTAGTCTAGGAGAAGTAAATAATGAAATAGATATCAGATGGACAACGTTAATATAGGGAAATCCGACTGAGAAAGATTTAGGGGTAATGATAAGTAGGAATCTTAAACCAAGACAACAGTGACTATTTCTTCGAAGCAAGGCTAACAAAGTATTTGGGTTCATTCAAAGGAGTGTTAGTTACAAGACTAGTGAGCTTATCCTAAAAACTATAGTTCGCGTTTGTGAGACCTCACTTGGATTATGCGGTTCAGTTTTAGTCACCGTAATACAGAATGGATATCGAATCCCTAGAAAGCATTCAGAGGAGAATGACAAGAATAATCCCGTGCATTAGGAACCTTGAGTACAGAGACAGGTTAAAGCATCTGAATTTGTACTCCCCTAGAGACGTAGAGTGAGGGGCGATATGAACGAGGTGTATGAATGGAAGTCAGGGTTCAACAAAAGTGATAAAACATATGTACTTAAACTATCCACCCAGGAGCGAATATGTAGCAATGGTTTTAAATTAGACAAATTTGGATTTCGGCAAACCCTGGACAGTGTTTACGTATCTGGACTGATATATGAGCGATATGGGTTGGGTATAAATGGGGCTGCCTAATATGGACCAATAGGCCCGCTGCATTTTCCTCCATTCTTATGTTCTTATGATGAAACACTGACGAGTTTCTCTGTCTTTGATGATCTTATAATGTATTTTTTATCTTGAGTTGTCAGAAAGTTCTGAAAAATATATTAATGTTCAACTGTATTCGTAGTTACCTAACACACACACACACACACACACACACACACACACACACACACACACACACACACACGCGCGGCGAGTTAATAAATTTGGTTGGTGCTACAGGTGACGATGGAGGTACACACATTCGACTTGAGTGACCAGAAGATGTCCCTTAAGAAAAAACTCGAGGTCCTGCAGGAGCGGTACGACGTTCTCAGGATGATAGAGGTCAGTCCCTCCCCTCTTCCCCCCATACCCTCCCTCTGGGATATCTGAGAACGATGGCAAAATTATTATTATAATGGTATGCGTGAGTACAGAAGCTTTTTAAAATGACTGGTGTATGCGAAGGTGTATAATGTGTGTGTGTGTGTATGTAGCTATTTAAACGTATAATGGGCGTGTGTGTGTGTATCTCTTCATATGACATACAAAGTGTTTGTTGCAGGCTCGGGGTTTCCGTCGGGTGTTGTATTGGGACAACGACCTGTCACGGTTTCCCCTGTACGATGAGGGTGGAATCAAGCACGTGACGGCCGGGGAGCTCCTCTACCTAAACACCAACTGGTACAACGCCACCTTCAAGCAAAGCTTGGCAACCGAGGGCTTCACTTTCAGGCACCACGAAACATATACACTTTCTCCCTAACTCCTCAAACTTCTTATGATTGGTATGCGATGTCTATATTGTAGGGTAAAGTTATTCTGTATTGTGTCTAGAAATTCTACGCGACAGCCGTGTTAAAGGAGCTCTGTAAACTACCTGTTACACTCTCTCATAAAGGGACAATTGCCTAATATCGGTTAATTCGTCATTAATAACATTATAGTGTACTTATATATTTTGGTAAATAAAGACAAAACCAACAATAAAGATGGTTATTTTACACATTTGTCAATAGCACAGATATTAATACATTAATCATAACATCATGTTATTTATGAATGGAAAACATGGAACATGTACCAGATCTCAGTTGGGAGTACACATTGATGGTTTACTCACCACGCCTATAACAAACTTCAATACTGGTAAAATAAATATTTATGGTTTCAATACTCAACTTGGGACAATTTTATTTCTGCTAATTATCCCCATCATGTACAACAACACTACTTTGCTCATATCACCGAGATTAGTACACCAGGCTTACATCGCTGGTGTTTACCACAACAAATGAAGCGCGCTATTAGCATCGGTTGGACACCTGGTCTCCGCACCCAGCTAGAGAGCCCATCCTCCCGGGTGTAGTTCCCAGGGCGAGTTACTCTCTTTGAAATTAGTCTCGCTGAATTAGAAACATCCTACTTTGGACATCTCGCTGGTAGGCAGCTACCGATCTTCGGTAGCTGCGGGGATTCAGCTACAACACACTGTGCCTGAGATACGATGAGGGAGCGTCAAAAAGTTTGTTTAAAAGTCTAAACTTATTTACAAATGATCATATGTCTGGTAATGGTCATCGACACAGATGATATTTAAGTTACGTTAATTCTTACTTGGCGCATGAGAATTTCACTATGTTAAAACATGAACACTGATATTTAACAAGTTCGTCTGAGTCAAATTCACTTAATATGGCGGGCGTGAGGCACTCGCTACATACCTGAGATACGATGAGGGAGTGGTTCAAAAAGTGTCGCTCTCCTTAGCGCATGCAGATACATACTAGGCTAACTGGCACTGAGGCACGTAAAAGGTGGCACCTTCACGCCATTTAAATCAGTTGCTGTACACATTGGCTTATGAAAATCAAGTTATGAATTCATATAAATTTTCTAAGATTAACTTTTTAAGCTAATCAATGCCCGAGCTCTAAAAGGCAAGAATTAAACTGATGTCAAGTAATTAGATTGGCATTACATTGTGGGCGGAGCTTATAACAGAGAGGTACTGAGATCTCGCCGTTAGATCTTGGAGATAAGAAGACTGACATATAACTTCAGGATATTAATTACTTTATGGAATATAAAACTAACCACAATTTCAATACAAACATCAGATTATTTGATGATTGGTAATCAAAATGATCTAATTTCAGTTACAATTTGGAAGCCCAGGGTGTCCCCAAGGACGATGTCATGATACGCCACTTCTTACAGCAGACTCTACACTGACTTATTTGAACATTTTACTAACAGTCAATACAGTTGAAGCTTTCAGCATCACTCAGAAGGATCTTAAATGTTTAATCTATAATCAGACTTATCAATTCAATGGAACATAGGTGTGTTCTCTCTCAATTTCAAATCTCTGAACACGATAATTATGACGTATTTAGAAATATCAGTCTCTCCAAGGTACATGAGAGAAAACGGTGGATTCAGGCGTACTGAAGCGGCGAGAAAACAGACGTTTCAACTGGGGGACTCAATAAAGAAGTTATAGCTGCACGTTTTAAGGCCCATTGAGCGTCTGATCGTCTGATTTTACGTTAACTAACATTGTAAGGTGCGGACTTTTCCTCACTTCATACTATTTCACATACTTATTTTTGGTTGGTTGGTTGGTTATACAGAGAGAAGAGAGCACTAGCTCTCAGAGTGCAAGAAGGGTACAGTACAAGGTAAAGTTCAGAAGTGGGAAATAGAGGAGGAGGTTAACAGCAGGTGGGCTATCCACCTTGCGGAGACTACTTATTCTTTTTATTCTTCAATATATTTATATACTTATATTCTTGCTGAAATTCTTATATAAGTGTCTATCTTATATTTCTTTGCGTATATTTTCCAAGTCAATATTCTTTTCTTTATTTCATTTCTTTTCATATATATTATTGTATTTTCTGAATTTCTATGTCCTTACCTTAACTCAAGTATATCCTGTTTAAATTATACATTATTCTAAACCATGGCTTAGTCTGGGAAACCATATCATTCTTATTACAGCACTTATTATACTTACAACGGTAGCCTGCCACCACCCAGTCTTTTATTAGAACACGATAGGTAGCCTCCTTGCGAGCTTCTAGGCACGTGAGTTACAATAGTTATTTTCTGAGAACCGATGTGTGGAAGGAATAGAGTGGTGATGCTCGCAGTTTACTAATTTAATATTTATTAACAGAGGACTCTCATGTCTTTCTTTACAAGTAACAAAATATATATTAATTTCTTGATTATAACATTACACACTCATTATATTACTTCATTGTCAATACAGGTGATTATATAACACACTCGGCAAGATCCAAAATTAAGATATTATCAGAAACATCCTGTTAGTTCAAAATTAACAACATGGCACTTTAACTAGCATTCAGTGGTAGTACACCTGGTTGGTGGACTCAACTCCTAAAACAACAGTACCACTAGTAACACCAACATTCATGGGTTCAATACTTAACCTAGGATAACTATATTTCTGCTAGTTAATCCCCAATCATAGATACCAATACTGTTCAATACATATAACCAAGATCAATGGACAGGACAACAGTCACAAGACTGAGTCCACTGTTCGCGGGAGTTGTTTACACCACAGACAGCTGAAGCTCGCTCGCAAGGAGAACCCAGGGGGGTAGACTGTCTCCTCATGGCATTCTTGTCCTCGGATTCTTATCTCGCCATATAAAAGACATCCTTCAACTTTCAAGGACCATCTTGCCCATAGGCAGCTACCGCACCTCGGTAGTGGTGACAACACAAACCGTGCCTGGAGATGCGTTGAGGAAGAGTCACGAACGTGTTAAAATGGTCTAGCTTCAACTATACATAACATACGTCTGGTGTCATGGTCACGTTGACTGCGGATCTATTTAACTAATAATTCTTATTAAACTCCACGCCCGCAAAACATGAGTGAGTTAGCAACCCCTGAGAAGACGTGTTTTTTCCCCATAGATGTTACACTTGTGTTCCCTCCCAGAGTCCCGCCTTTGTGAAGACAGTTATCAATGCGTTGTTATTCCACTTTCTCCTGGGAAGCTCAATCTTGAATTAGTCTGTATAAATCAACTCAAGTAATTCGCCAGACCTTTGTCAACTGAGGGTCATCTTTGAATGAGTAACAGTTAGTTTGTTTGTAATTATTGTCATTGTGTGAGTAGAGATCACTGGCAACTAAGGGGTATATATACCCTAAGACGAGCCAGGGAGCCTTCCCTGACGCTGCTTCCATGTTTCTCCAGGTATGTTTTGCGTAGCCATTCAGTTAATTCAGTCAATTGTAGTGAATATCAGTGTTCACCAGTGTTCATGATTTAACAGTTGAATTGTCATTCACCCAGTGTAGAAGTAATATAACGTAAATACGTCTGTCGTCTAGACAAGAGAGTTGTTTGTGTTGTCATGCTCCCTGACGCTGCTTCCATGTTTCTCCAGATCCCATTGTGATTCTTGCAACCATTCAACAACGGCCTCGGATGTAGTAAATAACCAGCAGGGATCATATATGAAACGATGGCACCGATGCGGCCTGATTAATGTGCCCCACGGCTTCGTTGGGTCAGACCCCAGACCCGCCATGTGTCTGGCTACCCCACAATAACAAAGGTCGTGAGCCCCAGTGCCCTACCCTGGGTTGCTCCTTGGAAGTGTATGTCCACAGAGAGTGTTGTAACATGTACGTTAGGGATAATTAGATGGAAATAATTATCCCATGTTGGGTAGTGGACCCCTGAATATGCTAGTTTAATTATTTACGAGTATGTTGAGTAAGTACTGAGTTTGCAATAAGCCCAGGAGTTGAGCCTGGTAGTTGAATGATTAATACAATATCTTTCCCCATTGATTGCATATTAATAAACTTGTTTTTAGAGTACTTTAGGTGTATTCATTTCTCCCACAGTATTTTACCTTTATTTCCATCGAAGTGACTTGATACCATATAAATTACATCCCACCGCTGCCACCATTTTATAAGGGCCTGCGCTGCCTCCATTTTATAAGGGCCTGTGTGTCAGTAACAATTCCTTTTACTCTCATACTTATTACCATTGGTAGCGTGACGAGAGGAGGCTCGTGGGTATATGTAATTTATTTACCTACAGTATCTACCGTTATTTCGTCCCTATTACTTGATACTATCATTACATATACCCACGAGCCTCCTCTCGACACACTACCAATGGTAATAAGTATGAGAGTAAAAGGAATTGTTACTAACACACAGGCCCTTATAAAATGGAGGCAGCGCAGGCCCTTATACTGGCAACGATACAGACGACACTTACTTTACTCGAATTACTTGACACATGATTATTTCACTATGTTAAGATATGAACACTGATATTCTCAAAATCGACTAAGTTAAACTGACTTAACACGGCGGTGGGAAGCAATCGTTCACTTACCTGGAGATGTGTTGAGGAAGAGTCACGAACGTGTGATTCTTCTTTGTGCATCCGTATATATGTGAGCCTGGGGCTGCCCTGGCCCATGCATACATACCAGAAAGGCTAATTTCACCAAGAACAGAAATTCTATTCAACTCGGTTGCTGTACACTCAGCTATGAGCGTCAGTGTCAGGGGTCAGGCTAATTTCTTATTTCTATTTTTATAATCTAATCAGAGATTGAGTTTGTCAGAAAAAAGTGAAATGGACGTTAAACACGCACAACAACTCTACTTACAGGAAACCACAAACCACAGTCAAGGAATTTTTCCTGAGAAGAGCGGTTAGGTCTTGGAGATTTTGAGTTTGACAGAATCTTTTCAGGAGATTAATGATTTTCTTAAATAGACAACTGACACTAACTTAACTACAAACATCCAATTCTATGATGTTTGGGCATCAAAATAATCTAACTCCAGTCGCACTTGGAAACTCATGGCTATCCCCAAGGACGATATAAGGATATGCCACTCATACTGACAGACTCAACACTCACTTACTTGACACGTTTTACTAACAATAAAGACAGTTGAAGATTTCAACATCACTCACAATGGATCTTGAATGTTCCAACTGTAATCAGACATATCTAAGTTGCCTCAACATATGTAACCACTGTACTGCGCACATCATTGTCATTCCTAAAAACCCAATTTAATTCATATTACGCTACATAACATTCAAATCCACCGAGCTTGAAGAATCTCAGGAGAGACATGT